TAATTGCCTGCTGGTATTCCTCTGTGAACTGTTAGTTTAGAGAGAGAAATCATTGTCAAGGTCGTTTCTATCATGTGAACATTCCACTTGCATGATGTTGTCCAATGTTATGTTACAAACAGACTCTGTTCAGTGTTAAACATGGGAAATAGCTCGTTTAAATTAATTTAATGCCAGTTAGACTGAAAGGAAAGCTGGTCTAAAGTACATAAATCAATATCCTTGAATCTTTAGCAAATGTGATCATAACCGAACTTTTACGAAATGAAAATTTGTGCAATCGTCGACTACTCGTAATTAAAAACTAAGCTCATTGGCTAGAACTGTTACAGTAGTTTCTGCTTACAAAGCAAGCTTATGCGTGAACCGCAAAGCATTGAAATATCAATACATTTGTATTTTGAAACGTTTCGAAGAGGAAATTTTGTAATAATAACGAGCTCCTGAAAGATTTTGACAAAGTGATCACTACTTTTGAAGTACACGGCGTACATTTCAGACTCCGCCATCGCTCACGTTAAGATCTGTTTGATCAAAACAAGATCATGGATCTTGCGATTTGGAGTGGAGTCCAAAAGAAACTTAACTTAAAGAAAAATGTTACTTTTTATCAATATTTTACCTTTCTGCTTCCATTTTGACGACGTTTTAGTAATAGAAAATCCAATAAAGTTATTGCTCGGGAAAACAACTGTAAACTTCCTGCATTTGAAAGACCCGCAAACGGTCGTCAAATACCACGTGATATATGTAGACTGTTTTTATTGGCTTCATTCCTCACACTCAAAGTAACTATGTGGTATAAGAAAAACAATATGTCCATAAATTTTGACGGAAAAAAAAGTTCCTTGGGATTCATAGACTAGGCGAATAAAAGTCCTCTCCTGGAAAAACATATATAATTTTCATCTAAGTGCACTTCACAAAGCCAGAAGTACACGTACCGTGTTTTCTCTATTAAAAAAACGTCTCCGGCGTTTGTTTTTAACTTGATCTGGATAACCCGTCGTTTATTGACGGAGTGCAATTTTTTGTCATTATTTGGGGTTAATACTTTTTAACTACCCCCCTGAAGGTATAGCTTGTTAAGCAGAGAAACATTTTTCCTTTGGTCCAGCCACAACAAACTATCGCTGGGTTTTCTCCAAGGATTATCACTTTCCCTTTCCATGAGGCTACGCGAACACGAAATAGTCCTCTTTTTCCTTTGTTAAGTAAAATGTTTCTCAAAAATACAGGCCAATCTAAAACGTCCCAACTGTTCCCACGCACTCTTATCTAGACACATCTTCGGATCAATAAGAGAACGCCTAGTATCGCAGAAAAATTATAATACCTGCGTGATGCAAGGGAGAAAGCTGGAATAAATGTGTTTGCATGGGAAGAAAGGAATGAAGTAACCGAAGGTAAATGAAAAAATCCTTTAAAAAAATTACTAGTGAATACATTCAAAAGCACTGAAAAACAAAACTGGAAAATTAAACAAAAGAATCCCCCCTCGCAAAAAATATCGACCAGTTGAGTCTGAACTGAAATTAATTGGGAACAAATGAATTATTTGACAGACAAACAAACAAACAAATAGTAAATGAAAGAACATTTCATATCAAAACATTCCCTGTCCTGAAACGGCCTAAAGTAAGACAAAATATCGCTACCCATCAAAGTGAAACCTCATTTATTTAATTTTTCATTTTCTCCTTATTGACATAATTTTTTTAATATCCTGTGTTATCGGAGAAACCGACAGTAGTCATAAGCATTAAATAGACTAATCTGAAATAATAAAATATAGCTCGAAGTGTTTCCGAGTTTGTATTTTCATCAGACAACTCTAAATAAAATATAATACAAAAAGATCCTATTTCTACAAATATACAATCTCCAAGACGCGAATTTTGACCATTTGGTGAAATAAAAATAAGTTACTCATTGGTAAAAAACAACACTTTCTGCAAATCAAGAAAACCAATTAGCAGGCTCTCAGCTTTAAATAAATATGCCCACTACACTTATTGCCTGAGACGGACCGAAATCTGTGTAAGCGCATGTGAAAGCATAGTATCTGTATTATCATTGACAAACCGTTTTGCGTTTTCCACACTTCAACGTTTTACAAACTATTTACTATTCAAAAACTTAACGCTCTCCCCCCCCCCCCCCCCACCCTCTCAGTTATCAAATTCGGAGGCTGTTGTGATTTTTAAGAACTAGCCCAAGAAAAAAAATAACGCCTGATATGAAAAGACACCTAATCGTGACAGCTAGATGACTGTGTTGAAGACATCTTCAGTTATGACCACCAAAGGTAGCTTTCATCTTCCTAAAGGCATCGTGGAATTTTCTGGAACCTTGCGAGGAGGATAGGTGAAAGTTGCTGGCGTTTTCAGAAGCAAGGGCATGAAGGTTTTCACTTTTACACTCCTGTATACGCTGTTTGAGTCTCTCTTTCACTTCATCATTGGTTTGGAAGGCGTAACGCATCTGTTTGAATAATCGAATCTGGTCCACTAATCGGGCAGTTGACCTGCAATTCAAAAAAATAAATGAGTGATTTTGTAGCGGAAAGAACGTCCTCAAGAGCGCTTTCTTGATCGAGTATCGTAAAACCAAAAATAAACCAAAATAAAGACAATCAATCAGCTAAACGGAAAATACCTTTAGAGCCAATGAAAACTCAAAAGTAAAAGCATTTAAATTGCCTAAAGCGCGGGAAAACGCGGGCGACCAAGTCGAGATTGCTTTTAGTTTTGCATCTGATTGGCTGAGAGTGGAGCGAGTTCTCTGGACCAATCACAAATCAAAGTAAAGCAAAATCAATGCAATCTTCGATTGCTTTCGATGCTCAATTAAAAACTGCTCTAGAAGAATATTTCCTGATGAACCAACCAATTTATTTATGTTAACATGTCGCTCGACAACCATATCTGAGCCAGAAGCTCGTTTGTCAATTAGTTTAAACCAAGCCCACGATACTAGTGGATTGCCGCCTATAGATAAATTTCTTTTATCAAAGGAAAATGATTACCTCATTTTAGTCCATTTGTACATGTCGTTTGGTAAAGTAAACCCTCCCAGTTCCTGCTGTTGCACGTGAATCACGAACAAAAGGAAGCAAGGAATTGTGGGCTTCTCACGTGACGCTTCACTCTTCATTAACCAAGAGCTATCTGTCTTCAACAAAACCTGAAATGGAGTACATAGCTTGTTGTGTCTTTCTGGTTCTGAAACACTCAATGAAACACGCTTTTCAGCGAGTCTTGCAGACGTTTTACCCACCTTAACAGCCTTGAGTTCTTCAAGTGTCTCAGTCGTCTTTGTCGGGACTTGTCTCCAAACCTAAACGAGAAGGGAACACGTCCAAAATGAATAAAGATGTGAAACATCTCTTTCTCGAGAGGTCAAAGAAAATCTGATTTTCTCGTGGGGATAAATGTGTTCTGGGGCCACAAAGATTGGAAAAAAAGTTCATGTGAAATTAAATATTGAGTACTCGGGTTGAATCAGCTGTTTAAAATTCTGAAAGACTTACTAACTACGAGTAACTAACTTACCGGTAACTGACGGATCACAAACATCTCCAGAGCGTCGACGATCTGAATACAGGTACTGTAGTTACGAATCTCACAACAGTACCGAGCTGCATTCACGAATTTAGTTATCAGGGCGAGTTGGGCCTGCAATAGGAAAGTGTAGTTGTAAGTTATCATGCCATTCTAGGTTACGATCAACAAAATGACTCGTTGCTCGAATCAACCAAACGTACATTGTAGTGGGGACAATCACGCCCTCCCCTTCCCTTCCCCTTCAGCTGAATTCGCGCTCCTTACATCACGTACGTTAATGTATGTATTTTTTTTATAGAGTTAAACAGGCGTTCTGTCCCTCTCGACACAAGAGGATGGGATGGTTGTATTATATACCTTGGGTAAAAATCACCACACTTTTCACGGGAGCTTTACCTTATGAGAGATGTTAACATGCGACATGACATTCACGACACCCGTGCTAAGAGGTTGCTCACTTTTAAATAACTAGAGACAACTCAAGTCACAAAACAATTCATGCTACCTTTATGGAGGACGCACTACATATCTCCACTGCCACCCACAAGGACACATCGTGCGCGTGCTCCAAGAGGTCCTCTAGTAGGCCATCTGTACTGGGTTCACTAACGTACATATTTTGTTCTCGTGAAATGAGCCCCTCCCCCAAACTTGACATCTCTGAGGCACGTCGACTTCCGGTGCTAAAGCCAAACATGTTATCGCGTTCTTTGGTAGGGGATTGATGCCTACCAACACCGATACCGTGCGCACGCGAGTTTAAGAAATGCACTGGGTGAATATGGAAAAACAAATCCTGTAAAAAGAAAAAAAAATTATATTAATCAGGACATCCATGACTTTAAAGAGGTGAGGGGACAAACCGAGTGCGATTTGGAGGCAGCATCATCGAAACATGCTGTTGAGTAAAAGAGGAAGTTAAGTAAAGGAGCAAATCGTCAACTCAAAGTCCCTTTGTTTTGTTTTGGGAAAGATAGAAGACATGCTGTGCCACAGACGCAATTTTGTCTTATTTACTTTTCACACGAGGTACATGCGTGTTGTAGCAACGCACATCAGGTTATCCAAAGAGATACATGCTAAAAAACTGCAGGAGAAAACTGAAAGCTATGAGAGGAGAAGTCCAGAACGGAGAGAGCTAAATCCGGGATTAGAATCTGGGAGAGGTTTACCTGCTGTATCAGTGTGAGCTGCTCTGCGAGGATTCGTGAAGAGTGGTCTAATATGGAAAGAGCCTTGAGGTACAGAGTTGCTTTGTATGTAGTGTCCTTCTCAGGTGGGGCTCTTCTGAAGCACTGAACTGGAGATTTAGCTTTGCGGCTACCCAATGGCTACAGAAAAAAAGAGAGATAAGTCGTTAAATTTGGTTGCGCGTGTTCTATAAAGGACTTCCAAATGACACTCCCTCGTAGGAACCAAACTTCCCTCGTTTCTATGAAAGTTCCAAGTATCAATCAATTCAGTTTGAATTCAATTTCGATTGAGTGTCTCAGTTAAAACCAAAACCAAGGGAATCACAACTACAGCCAATCCAAGCGACAACAACAAAACCGTCAGAAGCGCGGGAAAATGCAAGGGACCAAGCCTTGATTTGTTTCAGTTTTAAGGCGAGGTGGCTAACTAAATCGAATAGCATAGCAAAGCAAAACAAACGTAAGTTAGGAATGCTTTGGGCGCTCAGTTGGAAACTGCCTCCTCTATTAATGAAATTGTTTTAAGAATATGTTCTCTAAAGCCAGGCGACAATCAAACCGTTGATGAGGGCATTTCATCTAGCAGTTATTTTCAATTTTTTGTCTGGACCTTGACCGTTTGATTGTAAATACATGAATAAAAAGATAGTCTGGAAATTGTACGCACCTTTCTCAGCACATCCACAGGGCTTAGACCTGCAGCACAATAAGAAAAAATCTCACATAAGCTTTCTTTAAATCCCTCATATTCCTTCGCAAACTATTTAAAAGAGCAGTCTCAGATGTTCCCGTACCTTGAGGTTCTTCAAGCTGAAGTACTGCTACGAAATCACTAGGTTCGTCTGATGATAAATTGTTATTCAAATCTCTCTTTTGTTTCTCTGAAATTAGCTCCATCAAGTAATGACCTCTTTCACTTCTGTCCACGAGGATTAACTGGAATAAAGTAAAAATGA